TTGGAGCTTGGCCAATTTTCTTTCAGCGCTCATGCAGGGAATCCCGGGAATGGCAGCATATTGCATGCTTTTCACTCCAAGCAGCCCGGACTGGAAAACACATGGCTGGGGTGGAGGAGCAGTCCTTCTTAACAAGCTGAAAACTGTTGCTTCAAGCCTGAGTTCCCTGCAAAGCTGCAAGCCCAGCTTTGGCTGCAGACATGTGATTGTAAGGGCAGGCTTTTTCCAAGGCCGGTCATAGAGGGAAACAGAAATGAGTGCACCAGAGTACTGGACTTCCAGCTCTCGTGCGGAGTACCCAGACTTGCAACTCAGTTTGGAGCTTGTTAAGAAGGACTGTTCCTCCATCCCAGCCATGTGTTTTCAAGTCCGGACTGTTTGGAGTGAAAAGCATGCTGTCAAGTCCCAATTTGGGGCTCACCATACCTGGGGGTGTGGGAGGGTCACGAAGCTGCAACCATTGGAGCTGGCAAGTCCAAAGGCAAGCAAGGTTGCGGCGGCAGTCGTGGTGGGACACATCAGGACAGTGCTGGCCTGAAGTTCATCAGCAGGCCATCCTCCTGGCCAGATCTGGCCACAAGTGGCACCGGCACTGGCAGGCAATAGGGTGCACAGCCGCTGGAAGTCCCATTGCTGCTGTCCTGTTCTTCATCCTGGCCGTGCACCCCATTGCCTGCTGGTGCCAGTCGTGGCCAGAACCAACCAGGAGGATGGCCTGCTTATGAGCTTCAGGATGGCACTGTCCTGATGTGTCCTGTTGTTTTCCTGGCCCATCGCCGCCATCACCCTGTTCTTCGGGTCGGCCAAAGCTGCTCAGAAGGCAGCTGCCACAGCTTGTCCTTCCTACTTAAAGGCAGTTTCCGAGGCAGGAAAAGTTCGGCCAAGTCATCTCCTTCTCGGCCTGAAACACACAGAGAACATGCACACATCTCACAGCACCGGGACTTTCTGCGAGGAGATTGTGTGTGGGCATGCACCGTCTCTTCACAGAAGATTCCGGCACCATGAGATGCATGTGCCTTTTTGTTTGAGGCCAAGAAGGTGGAGAAGACTTTTACCGAACTTTTCTGCCTCCCTCTCTTATGACACTGGCCAGGCAGGTAAGCAGCCTCCTGACCTTGAGGGCAAGTGTCCCTTGAGGGCAAGTGTCCTCCCAGCAGGGCCGTGCTAGCACGGCCATGAGATTCCCAGCTAGGGGGCAAGAGAGTGCTCTCCAGCCAGCACGGTCATGTGGTTCCTGGCCAGGGGGGAGAGAGCTAAGGAGCTAGCGTGGCCATGCAGCTTCTCAGCCAGCATTGAGAGGCAAGCAGGAAGCATGGGAATGGAGCTGCAGTGCCGGTGGCGAAGCAAGACAGGCAAGCCCTGGGACGTGGGGGCAGCTAGCTAGCAAGGCCATGAGTGCCGCATGCAATGGAGACGTGGACGCGGTGGTGGAGCCAGCCAGGCAAGGCAAGGGATGGAGGGGCGGGCAGTACAGTGGCGGCAGCCTAGGCCAGCTCACCCTAACCGGGCAGAACCGTCAGAATCCCACCACTGCTATGGATACAATCAACACCTAAATCATAAAGTAATGGGAAAAAAATTAAGGTGTGGGATCTTTCTGTCTGCTTCCTGCTAAACTATTCAAGTAAACTCATCTCACAAGTAAATTAAATTAAGGCAACCATCCTCCAAATGATGAAGCTCAGGGTTAGCTACACATGTGCTCATCTCAAAGATGCTCACGGGGCATGGCTAAATTTTCTGAAATTTACTACATGGAGCTTAGCTTGCAAAAAGTAATTTTTAGAAAAAGTTTATATTAGAATGTAAATTTCAAATATTAATTTCTTTTTATTATTTCCTTTGAATCTTTATTACTGATTAATTGAGAAGATAAATATCAGTTATACTACAAGTCAGTGTATGCACACCCTGACATAAAATTTCTATTAAACTGTTGGATGCTTGTTGTTAAAACTGGAATGAGTCACCAAAGCTGTTGTTGCTATTGTTATTGTTGCTGTTGCTGCTGCTGCTGCTGCTGCTGCTGTTGTTGTTGTTGTTGTTGTTGTTGTTGTTGTTGTTATTATTATTATTATTATTATTATTATTATTATTATTATTATTATCCATGATGGCACAATGGTTAGAATGCAGTATTGTAAGCTAACTCTGCTCACTGCCAGCAGTTTGATCCTCACTGGCTCAAAATTGAGTCAGCCTTCCAGTCGGTAAAATGAGGACCCAGATTGTTGGGGCAATATGCTGACTCTGTAAACTGTTTAGAGAGGGCTGTACAGCACTGTGAAGTAGTATATGTCTAAGTGCTATTGCTATTATTATTACAAGTCATTATTACGAATCATAAGCTGCTCAGAGTCATTGACTGAGATGGGAAGCCATAGAAATTGAGCAAACAAACGAACAGACAAATGAAGGCCCTTCATGTTTCTTCCTATTATTAATTTCCAATATAATTTGGAGGGAAACCACCAAATATATATTTGGGCTGGTGAAGCAAAATTTCACTCCGTTCCCCAAGATTTGTTAATTCTTCTTTCTATCACCTAGCCAAGCAAACTGTGCACTTGTTTTACTACAATATAAAGGAATTTTTTAAAAATCCCTGAACCAAATCTCAAGAGAGTTATTAAGGATGGAAATATCAAAAAACCTAAACTGATTCAGAACAAAAGTTTTACACTTATTACTTAATCACATTAGAAAAATAACTTCATCCTCTTTCTATCAGAGTTTTCAAATATAGTAACATTTGTTTGCTAAATATATATATTCTGCTTTTCTTCTAGGAACTGAAAAAGATGTATACTTCCTCCTCCAACTTTTCTCAAAACTGTCCATGGAGTACCTCGATAGACAAAGGGGATACTTTATGAGGATGTGTTGGCTTTTATAATTCCTTGAAAAAGTTGCTGGATATGGCCTTGGCAATTATAGACCAAATTGTTTGTTGAGTATTGTAAGCTGGTACTTATCAATGAAAAACTTTAGACAAAAAAAAAAAAAAAGAATTTAGGAAAGGACATTCCCCTATATATTTTAATACCTAATCAATAAGTATTTATCGGTGTTGCAATCTTGTCCTTATGCTTTTATCTATCAATAGTTTAAAACTATAACTATGTAAGAATTAGGTGCAATTTGAATGGGGTACTTTCTGATACCTAATGCAAGTACTTAGTATAAAACAAGACTGTGTTTTGTTTTGTTTAATCTCTATAGCAACATCTTATCCAAAAATACAGTGCAGCAACATCCACCTAGATTATCTGATTTAAACATTCTGGTATTATTGTACATTGATTATGCAGTTCCGCTCTCAACAACTTTATTTGGTACTAAAGGCATTAGCCTGTAATTGCAGAGAGGATAATTTATTCATTAAGTACCAAAAGATCAAAATAATGGCCAAAACACTGAAGCTGCACCATTGAATTGTCCATTTTCAACAGACAGAGCAAGTTAAATGCTTCAGTTAACTGAAGTGGTAGCATGCCATTCTTCAGGAGGAATAAAATCACAAAGAGCACCAGCAGAACAAAGAATTACAACAGCCATTTTAATTTTTCTCAAATTCAGCACATTTTTTTATATATATTTCCCCCCCCCCCCCATATTTGATGGTTTACGTAGCTTGGTCTTGGCTGCCATCAAATTGTTCCAGTTGAAATCACTGGCTCGGTTTGTTTACAGTCTGCCGTGACACATATTCTAATTACATAATGCTCATATTAATACAAACCAGGTTTCTCAGGGCAATTGTGCAGCTTCTGAGGTGTGTACCAGGTGCACTTTTATGATTAGAGGCTGCAACCAGAATTTGGTTTGCAGTTACTAATTATTGGTGCGTATACAAACACCTTATCCAAAATATGGCAAAATAGTGCGTAACAGCTTGCCACACGAGAGAGGAAATAACAGTTACAGTAGCTGCCATAATTTAATGTAAGTGAAGTTTGTCAGAGTTTTTAATAGGTATATATTAATTAGCCATAAGGGTTATTATTCTCCATAACCAACCATAATATGGTTGGCCTTTGTCTGTAATAAAATCTTTGACTTGACCCCTGGGTTAGAATGAATCAAGATAGGAGACTGGCACGGAGTCATCAAGTGAACTTCCATAACCAAAAGTGGTTCTATGAACGTTTGCAGAATTCTATTAATTTTTAATTAATTTCTATTAATTAAATGTATTTTTAATACATTTCTATTAAAATGTATATCTTGTTCAATATGCAGTGGGGTATATAGATAGAAAATGAATTCATGTGATAAGAGGTTCAAAATGGAACACAACAAACTAAAAAAAAAGGATGGTGTGGTATACAAATGGGGATTATATAATTTCAAGATTGCACTGAAAAAAATATCCATTCCATTCATTATAGTTATGTCTAAGCCAATATATCCCAGATCAGGGGGAGGAAAGCAGGTCAGATCTTCTATTTTACATGATAGCGCATTGACTTGCGGGTGATTTTTCATGAGGGCCTACTTCTAAGTGAATGCTTCCCCCATGAACCTCCAGGTGACCCAGGTTTGCAGGTAAAAACTGCGTCACCTCGATATGCATGTTTGAATTAACTTTTTATCATCAAAATCCTTGGCCTGATTAGCTCAGTAAAGTTTGATTGTTTTCTTGATATTGCAAACAATGCTTTCTCAATCAGGAGAAAGCATCGTTGAAAGCATCTATTTCCTTTCAGGTTTCTATGTCTCAAATCCCACTTGGAACCATTTAGACCTGTTCCTCCTCCTGGCTACCTTTAAAAAATATACCATCTAAAAATTCTTTGTTCAAGACATACTTCTTCACATGTTATTCTGCAATGTGGAAATTGAATCATATGGATATCTCCTTGCATGTAAAGCAGCATCCATTGATTCAGGCTTTCAGGCCAGATATGAGGAAAAACAAAGCCCATTCATACAAATATATATATATATTTATTGGGAAGAGGCTGGCATATTTAGCAATTCATATTCATAATTACCTCTCCCATTTCCTGAGATCAGTAGTAGATGCTGGAAGAGGAAGATGCGGGCTACAAAGGATTCCTAAACTGGTTTGGGGATTTAAAATTACAGCCAGGAGGGAGGAAGAAAGGGCTGAGGCACTGGTAAATTTCCAGAGACTCCTGCATAGAAGAATGGGAGAAAGGAGGGGTTTAGGGTTTCTGACGCATTATGAAAGGAAGATGAGAGGAAGTGCCTTGATATATTTCTACTAATTGACAGAAAAAGAGCTCTAATAGAGGTAGAAGAAAGGAATAAATAAAGCTGGGAGACCCCTGATTTACCTACTGCCATTTAAGATTACACGAAACCCTTGACTGTAAATCAGAAAATCTAGGGTACATATACTGTAACCAATTATCTGCTTCAAGATTTGCTGTAGTGAACATCTCAATGCCAATCTACAGTTGAGGCACATGGTTACTACATGTTTCCAATTAGAAGCAACTATTATTCTCAGGTAACAATTACTTGAATAATTCTCAAATATATTTATTTAAATCAAAATGCCTAAATTTAATTTAATTATATTAAAAGCTGTTTGCTATTTTTGTACTGGTTAATAATGTTTTCAGTTTCTGCAAAATTCTAAACTGTGGTTGGTTTAGTTCTTCAATGTAATAAAGGCCAAATAAATAACTTCTCAAATGCTTATTTCATATAACAGATACAATTCAGAGGATGATTAAATGATTCAACAAACAGAATTTGCTAGAATTGTAAAAAGGGTTCTGGTGTTTTTTTTTTTAAAGCAACTATTCCCAGGGACAAGAAATTAAAATGAAATTATTTATATCACATTTGCTAATGCATAAATAAAAATTTGAGAAGATGTATGTTGAGAAAGATGTGCCTACTCTAAATAACTGATGCCTTGAAGCATGACATTGACTAACAAATATCTTTCAAGCAGAGATACTTGGTTTGGTTACATATTTTATTCCTTAAATTTGATTTGCCTGGCTTGGTTATGCTTGTTGGGATATGCCATCTAATGACAGGGCTATTCACCAAAATTCAGGCAACTGGCAAATCCAGAGCTGATCATTATGGAGCCTGGAGCAGAATAGGGCCAATCTAGTTCATCTTGAATAGGTCTGAACTTTCAGAAACCTTCTGTCTCACTCAATTTCTGGAGATGAGGACAGCAAAACTATTTTTTTACTAAAATAGTCTGGGTGATGGAAGAAGAATGATGAAGACTCTATTGGATTTCATTGTTTGGAAGTGATTTTTTAAAGTCAGAATGCTCTTAGTGATCAGGTAATCCCAAAGGAACAAAAGAACTGAATTCAATTTTTAAAAATTGCTCAGGATTTAGACATCACGTTTGAGGAAAGAATCTGTAGCTTGGGTCCCAAGCAACAATCCGGGCGATTTCTGATCTCTACTCTATACAGAACCAAATACAGTGGCATATTAATCACTATTTTTTATTAGTGGATATTTTAAAAAGTAATCACTTTTTTCAAAGTCAAAAATAGCATATTTAATGGCATAAATTTGACTAGCTTTAATTTTTTAAAATAACATATATATATAAGATATGCTTGAAAGTTGTATTTGGATTATATAGTGCATACTACAAAGTTTACATGATAAAAAGTCTAAAATGTGAATATTTCTGTTAACTAAGAGGGAGTGGCTGCTGCAATATTGTAGTACTTTCTAGCAATTTATATGGTCTTAAATGCTTAGATTGTGTTCTGGTGTGCATCATAGATAAGTTTCAGATCAATTCAGAGGAGACAGATATTAAACTTCCATTTAAAAAAGATATAAAGATTTCTAAATAAAAATCTTATATCCTGAATAAAAGTGTTTGCAGTGGCTTTCCTTCCCTCTGTAAATGTTCACTCATTAATGTCCTCAAGCTTTTAAATAGTTATTTATTCTGGTATTTCTATTGGCAACTGGAATAAGATCCAGTGCAAGCAGAAACTTAGACTTGTAGGGGAACAACAGCAGCCCTGAACAAATTTCAAATATTTGTTGACATTTTTCAGGGTTAGTGTTAGTCCTACCTTGGAAATGCTGCCGATTAAAATATCACTATCAAAATAAAAATAAAAATTGGATGATAAAATATATACAAACTTAAAGGAACAAACCTGGTTTATGGGAAACATTCCATATTTGGACTTTAGTTTAAAAATCAATACATAAAACCTTAAGGAGAAATGATTACAAATAATCATCTTAAATTAAAATCGTAGGCTATGGTTTTGCTGCTGCATTTAAGATCAAGCTTTTGTTCCTGCAGTAAAAGCCATTTTTTAAAAAAACAAAAAACCTATGTATTTTGTTTCTAAAGTTTGGGGTTTTTTTGTCTTTTGATATTTGCTTGTGATAATAATGTTTTTTTTTCCCAAAACTTGAAAAATGTCATCTTCTGAATAGGAAAAAACATCAAAACCCTGAAATCACAGGAAACGTAATAGAGAGATCCAGCTCACCTTGAAGCCCATTTCCATTTGCGCTGGTGCAAGATGGCGGAGGAGAAGCTTGGGGCCTGACCACAGGAGCAAAGGCGCTCTTTTGTTTCACTGCAGAGATGACATTGGCAGGTGAGAATGAGAAAATGCCGTGTGTACTGCTACAGTTTGAAGGAAGGGTGACCGAAGAGGCTGCCATGGTAGGGCTTGACGGCACTACTGCAATAAAGCAAAAATAATCAGGACTCATATTGAGGATGTTTATGGCAAACAGGAAGGGAAGGGAGAAAAAAAAAGATGTATCGTAGGGCCTCGCCTCTTTATGGGAAGGATAATAACATATAAAAAAATAAAATGCTTTGGCTTGCCACGCTCTGGATAACAGGCAAACTCTTTTGTCTTGGACTTTGATTGTAAATTGAGCAGTCCAATCTGGTACTTACTTTTTCCTCTTTTAGCATTAATTTTTTTTGAAAGTACCAATATATTGTCCGTGATCTTTTTCCTTCTTCTTTTTTAATTGTCTAGCCTCCAGAGTCACCCCTCCTTTTATCCAGTAGCTTATGTCGAAGGAAGTAACAAAGTAATTCTTAACAAACAGGAATGATGTAATGATGTGCCTTAGAAATAAAGACTTACTGCCGTAAGGGGAGTTCGCGGTCGAGCCATTAAGGAATCCAGGGGAACCAGGTACACCAAGGTTGGGCATGCTGGCATTGCCGTATCCATTCATACTATTGCTGACTGTGTTATAATTGGACTGTTGAGGAGTACTGCTCGGGACGTATCCTCGCGGGGAAACACTGCTTGTGTTGCGACTGTAACCTACTGAATTGGGAGGAAAAACCCATCCCAAAAAAAGGATTATTATTATGGGGCATGGAGAGTTTCCTACAACATCATAGTTTGCATGGTTAAATGGTCATGGAGATTCTCAGCCCTCCACGTCACAGCTGTACCAAAGGGGTCTAGGATAACTCTCTATGATCAGTTTGCTGCAGCCAATTCACCATAGCAAACTTGCCATGGCCAACTCACTGCAGGGCAACTCACCATGGCCAACTCGCCACACGACAAGAATTACCCTAATATCAAATAAATGATGGAATAGAATTGTTAAAGAAAGGAAACCAACGGACGGACAGAATGAAATGTGAATGACAAAAATTAAAATATTTTTAAAATTATTTTAAATAATTAAATTGAATTATTGAATTGTCCCGCAGCAAGTTGTCCTGCAGTGAATTGGCCATGACAAATTATCCAACGGCAAGTTCAGCATGGCAGGTTGGCCACAGCGAGTTGGCCATGGTGAATTGGTCATGGCAAGTTGTTCCATTCCGGTCCCAAAAGGTGCTTTGCATGGAAAGGTCATTTTTTTCACACCTTCTCTACTTAAACCAACTGTGATCATTCTGAGTTGTTCCTGCTTCTGGCAAACACATTTTTTTCAATGTGGTTTTGTCACTTTCACTCACATTTATCTTTATCAATCATTCTCATAATTTAAATGGCTGGGTTGCATCATCAAAATCTAAGCTTTTCCTTTTAAAGTTTTCAGATCACATATTTTGCAAAAGCAGTTATAAAGTCATGTAGCTTTCTGCAGAGATGTAAAAAAAATTGTTTCAAAGAAATCCGTCCTTCTTAATATTGATAATTTCCTAGTAGAAATAAGAAAGAACTTGTTCTATTTATCATGCTTTAATAAATATTGAACAACTATAACCAATGACTATGCTTCAGTGTAGGGAATACATTTTTGATAGCAACATGAGTCAAGAAAGCTTTGTTTAATTGTAAAATAATATATTTGAAAATCCCATGAAAAAGATGTTGGGGCGTGCATCACAGTATTACATGCAATCCATCCATGTCTATGTGAAAGTAAATCAGAAGGATTTATTCCATTTTCTATTGTTAGGTTTGCAATTATCAGCCACAATTAATTGAGTCAGTGCATTTGGCTACAAATAGATGTTTTAGTACATAGTCAATGGCTATGTCTATATTGAGCATCAACCCAGAATTTAGTGTTACAAGAATTATGGTATCTTCCCTAAAATTGTTTAATTTCTTCCAGCCCTGGCACAAGAGAGAAGCTTCTGCTTCTGCTTCACAGTATCAAATGGCCATGTTATATACTTGCTTATTTATATGACTCAAAAATTAAGATAAAATAATTGCTTTAGATTTATAACACAAAGAAAGCTCTTAACATTGAAATATGGAAATGAAACCATTCAAATCCCTTCACCCAAATACTTTTGAAATGCTCAAGGGAGGCTAGCTTATTTTGACACTATTAACCCATAGTTTAAGCAGCATGTTTGTTTGTTTATTTATTTATTTATTTATTTATTTATTTATTTATTTATTTATTTGTTGGTTGGTTGGTTGGTTGGTTCAATTTATATGCCGCCCTTCTCCGGAGACTCAGGGCGGCTTACAATGCATTAAGCAATAGCCTTCATACTTTTGTATATACCTGCTTAGTAGGGCTTTCAGACCCCCATAAGTGGTGTTCTTTTTTATACAAAGTCAGCTTATTGCCCCCACAATCTGGGTCCTCATTTTACCTACCTCGAAAGGATGGAAGGCTGAGTCAACCTTGAGCCTGGTGAGATTTGAACTTGCAGTAATTTCAGGCAGCTGGTGTTATTTAACAGCACTTTAGTCTGCTGTGCCACCAAGGCTCTTATGTTGAAACCAGATGGAAATTTATGTATCGCCATAACTCTAATATATTTTGCTATTAGCAAAATAAATTTACTGAAGCATGCTTTAGTCAAATATGTCAAATATAGTAGAAAATGGGTATCACAATTCCTGTTAACTGTAACACACACATTTATTCTACTCAAAATATAGGCAACTATACAGGTAGTCCTCGGCTTACAACAGTTCATTTAATGACAGTTCAAAGTTACAACAGCACTGAAAAAAGTGACATGATTGTTTTTCAATGTTATGAAATGACCATTTGATCAAAATTCAGATACTTGGCAATAAGTTCATATTTATGACCGTTGCTGTGTCCCAAGGTCATGTGATCACCTTTTGTGACCTTCAGATTCAGTTAACAACCAAGTTACTAACTTATTAACTGCAGTGATTCATTTAACAACTGAGCCAAGAAAGGTCATAAAATGGGGTAAAATTCATTGAATGAATGTCTCACTTAACAACAGAAATTTTGGGATCAATTGTGTTCGTAAGTCATGGACTACCTGTAATTGTAGATCATTGCTGGTGATCATTGCTGATGATCTCTTTATTAAAAAAAAATAGTCAAAACTTTATAAAGGAAGAAGTGTGGTTTGACCAAAAGAAAGTGGTAGTAAAAAGCAAATTGTAGGTGTGACGAAAAACAAAGAAAGATACGCACTAGTGTTCTTTACAAAGTTTTCAAATTTCATATTTTACAATGCTTAGTTATTATCAAATTCAGGTTATTAATCCTTTCCAATTAATATAACATGACAAACAAAATAAAACTGAAAAAAATCCCAATAAGGAGGGAGCTAATTGCATAACTAAACTAATGGTTTTGTACAAGGGTAAGAAATAACTTTGCTGCATAATTCATAATTCTTCACGTACCTTGGTCGTTAGCCTGTGATGTTTCTGAAACATTAACTGCTAGCTGGCTGCTAAATGAATTTACTCCCATCATACCAGTATGAGCTGGAGTGTTGGCAAGTGTAGGAATCTGATTGTGGTTACGTGGCACACTATATAATGCTTCTGCAATATCAGCTGCTCGTTTCAGGATTATTTCCTATGAAACAGTAAATGGATAATTTTTCTAACATATAATATCATTTAATTACCCTATGTTTCATGTAGCAATTCCTAATAAATGATGCCTATTGACCTATGGCTATATCAGGCAGGATTACTGTGTTTTTGGCAAGATTACATTCCTTTTAATTTACAAGTATTGTACATTGTACAGTAAAAATTGTATAATTTTCCAATAGTGAACCCAAGGCAGAAATAGTTTAAAAATCTTGCTAGCACTCTTACTAATATAACATCTGTTTCTTTAAAAAAAATAAAACACTTCTTTTTGTATTATGTAACAAATTACTGTTTTGATATTTTGTAATAAGCAACTTGTGTTTTTATCTGGTGTAGCAGTTTTTATAAAGCTGTGATCTGCTTGATGGTACCAATGTCCTTGTGGACCTCTGTAGCCATGACTGTATTGGTGAGGAAGACAAT